TTTTTTTTTTTTTTTTTTTAATTAGGCAAAACTTTCCTCAATGACAAGTAGCTTTTCCATTAGAATTATAGGGCAGGAATTTGACTTCCGGGATTACCTTAATGGTGTACGATGGTGTATGGGAAGTGATTTTTGATTAAAATGCAGCAAGAAAATCATCACTATATCATGGCTCGTCTGCTCGCCCTTGGCTTTTCTGGTGTCCAGTTAGGCTTGCTTCCAGGCCCACCCACTCCTGTATTTCTTGGTCTGGCAGTAGCTCCCTGCTGAGACCTCTGGGCGCTCACTACTGCTCTTCATTGCCTCTTGGTCTCCGCATACGCTTCTTCTCATAGGGTCGCCATCCCCCTGCCCCAAGTCTCCTACCCATCTTTCAAAATCTCTCACAGGACATCCTCCCCAAAAGTCTCTTTTAACCCTGCTATGACCAGGTGAACGTGACTGCCCTAGAAGAGCTTTCTAAGAGCAGGCTTTTCTGTCCTCTGTAGCCCATTTCCCTGCACTTGGGATCAGTTTAGTGGGCTCGTTCATGTATTCAGAGGAATAGTTTTTGTCCTTTCTGGATCCCCAGTATAGAGACAGAAATGCACTCGATATACAGTGAACATTTCTTTCTCCTTTCTGAAGCACTGAAGTCTGCATTTTCAGCATTAGTTGAATAAGTGATGTCAATAGAAGTGCCTAGACTTTTCACAGGCTCTGAGAAAGGGTTCACAGGCTATAGGAAAGGTCTTGCCAAGTCTTTTTTTAAAATGCATTTGGTTGTTACAGGGTCTCACTATCCAGCTTGCACTCATAGCGATTGTCCTGTTTTCAGCCTCCCCGGTGCTGGGATTACAGGCGTGCACCCCCATGCCCGGATTCTGTGGCTGGCTCAGCCCACCCTGGGCGTGGGGCTGGCACAGCATGTGGTGCTGGGGGTTGAACTACAGTTCCTGCGCTTGCCTAAGCTTGTGTAAGGAGGAGCTTTAGTCTGCTGAGCTATCTTGTGGGCCTACCAAGTCTGCTTTTGAAGTCTAGGTTTTGATAAGTCAGTTTCATCTGGAAGATGATCAGCTCATAAAAAGATGGAATGCAAATGATGCTACGGTTCTTCAGTGGTGCTCCTTTTCCTGGGACCTTAGAGTTGTTAACCTGCCTTGAAACCTCAGCTTCCTTCCTACAGTTCTCTCAAGGAGGAAGGGAAGAGTCTCTCAAGGTCATTGACACCCCCTGCATTTGCTCCCCTGAGTAGGGGAGCAGGATTGCTCTACCCTGGTCATATTGAAGCACGACATTTTGCCATTCATGACTTTGTTCCTGTGGGTCTCATGGGGAGGAGGCTGTAAAACCATTTTGCAACTACTGGATCTAAGACTAAAAGAAACGGCCTTTTCAAAAGCGATGGTGAAAATGGAATTTAAACTCACAACTGACTGGACCCAAAGCCCACGCTCTCGGTGACCTGCCCATTAGCTCAGTCGTTTAAGTGAGTGCTTCAACAAAGCAGTCAGGCTCTGGATGCTGTGGTTTGAGCCCCATATCCTCAAGCCTTGCCAGACCTGCCCTGAAGGAATCCTGAGCCAGTCAAAAAAAAAAAAAAAAATCCTTCCAAAGTCCAGCTCTTTCCCTTTTATCTGGCAGGGCCTCTCAGAAATATTTATGGTCAAAATAGGTCTAATGCACATGTCATCTAGCTACAGAGGGAGGGAACCAAGCTTCTTTTTCATTTAAATCATGCAGTCCTCTATACTAGGAAAAACTTCAGAGAGGTGAGCAAAATGAAATACCTGTCCTTCTGTGTTGTTTTTTACATGATTACTGGACTTCAGATGTTGGGGTTTGTGATTCAATAAAAAAAATAAAGCAACCACTCCTCAAATTAAAATGAAAAAGAAATAGCTGGGGGCAAGTCATTTCTTTTGTGTTCTCAATGTGCTTTCTCTACGTCAGTGTTTGTTAATCTTTTCTGCGTCTTCCTGGTGATCTAATGATTTTTTCCTGTTGGTACCTGCCGATGTTGCGAGGATGGAAAACACTTGCCTATGAAGGAGAATCAGCCCCGAGCTAGGCAAAGTGCACAAATGTTTCAATGCAAGCTGTTTTTTTTCTTGCCACTAATCAACAGCTTTAACTTTTCCAACAACCCGTGGCCTGGAAGAGTAGATTCCTCCAGGATCTGCTGCGTATGTTGTCTTGGAAAGGAAGGAGGTTTCCTAAGGGGCAACTTGAAATTGTTTTCTTACATCTTTTCTCATTCTTATCCACTCTCAGATTTTTTTTTTTTTTTTTTTTTTTTTGTGGAACCGGGGATTGAACTCAGGCCCTTGTGCTTGCAAGGGAAGCGCTTATTCCACTGAGCCATCTCCCCGGCCCATCTCAGAAATTTTGATGACATCAGTACTGAATAAAATTTTGTTTAGATCTTATTCTTATTGTTGTTAAAGATGTGGAATCGGTATTCTGTAACGTCCAAAGCCTATTCAATGTTAGTGGAAAAGCTCTGAAACTGATGCTTGCTGAAAACTATGGTCTAACGCTCTGTGTTACATGGTATTAGTTCAAGTGGTTCAGCTTTTCTAGGCCTCAGTTGATCCCCTCAACATATAGTAACATGAATTAAAAAACATCATATTGCAGTGATTCATGTGTGCATGGGGATGACCATGTTTAGAGTGCGCAATCCACACCAGCTAAATATTGGAAATGGTCTATATGTCCATCAACAGATGGATGAATAAGGCAGTATAACAACCATTGTAGATTGCTATCACTTTGTTGAATGAAATTCTATATTGTTGCTAAAGTACTTTTAAAATGTATTTTGTATTCTTTTTAAAAAATAAAAATAAATTATGGTATTTATGGACCATGGAGTACTGTTCTTCCATAAAGAAAGATAACAATGAGTCATTTGTAAGAAAATGGATGTGTGAAAAAAAATGGATGTGTGTTGAGACCATAATTTGAAGCAGAGCAGACACACGAAGTCAAACATTACATAGCTTGTCTTATATGAGAATCCCAAAATATGAATAAAGACGGTCCATCTCCTTTCATCCTATTATCTATCTTTTATTTTGTTCTTTATTAAGGAGGAGATGCATCTTTTTCAAAAGGGGGGCAACTAAGGATGTGAGGAGGGAAGGGAAGAAGGTGGATGAAAGAAGAATTAATATGTGCTCTGTGTATGGACCAATTCCCCACAAGGAATGCAGTCATTACATACTGCAAGTATATATTAATGAAAATAAAACTAAAAAAATTTGCAGACACTAAAAGAAAATATCATGGCTGCTTGCCTTGCCTCTGTCATGAGAGTAGGTGATGGTGTTAGATTGGATGATGTGGCAGATTGTTGGCAATGACCTCGATTGCTCATCTTTTTGCATCAATGCCCCTTAGAATGTGTCTTGTAAGTTCTGCTCATCTAGACAGAGATCTGGCTCCCTACCCTTACACATGGACTGGCTTGGGGATTTGCTCTGACAGAGATGGTATCCTGCAGACCCAAGGCTGCTCTATAGCCTCTTGGACATCCCCAGAACAGTCTGCTGAGGATGAGGTCACCTGGAGCTCAATGCCACCATCTGGTGGAAGCCATCCTGGACCATCCACCCCCAGAACAGACAGATGCATGAATGAGTTGAGGACAGGCTGGTTTGCTCAGCTGAGCCCAATCCCAACTCATGAATCTGCAGAAAATTTTAAGCCATTTCATTTGGGCTTTTTGTTAATTGGCAACAGTGCATGTTGGTACAGTGAGATGGCACTGTGGCACCCAAAGGGTGCCACGAGGCCTCCGCAGCTCTCTCATGGGTCACAAGAATACTCACGGGTGGTGGTCACCCTTTTCAGGCCAGGGCCCCGGGTGTTGTTTTTCACGATGTGCAGAGATATCTCATACTCTTGTCCGGGGGCTAGGCCGGTTTGCTGGTAGGAGGTCTCTGGTCTCCTCAGACTTTTGGTGATCTCTCCCTCGTCTTCTTTATTCTGAAAGACAGGAGCACCTTGGTGAGCCTCCATCTCAGAGCCTCTGCGTTTATGCGAGCCATTTATTCTGCATTTTTTTATTCCTCTTTTAATTTTTCTTCTGTCAATCAGGCACCTACTGTGCATCAGCGCTCTAAGTCAGATAACAATGTCACGAAGAGGATGGGCATTGTGCCGGTTCATTTCGTTCTCTGTAAATCTCTCCTTTTTGTAGCAAAAAGTCAATGACAGAGCATGAGAGACAAAGGGATTCTGAAACTAGAACCTCTACCTTCCTTTGCCAGACTGACAGGCTGGGATCAGAGAAGTTGTGCGACCGGCCCAGCCACACAGACAGCTGGCATCAGAGCCTGGGACTGAGTTCTGGAATAAAGCTTTCTACCTCATCTGTGCTCTTGGGGATGGGGAGAAGCGCTGCCCAAATCTGAGATATGCCTGGAATTGTTTTGTGGGAGAGACTGACTCTTTTTTCTTTGCCTTTGAGTAGAGATTTATAAAACAATCTAGAAATGACTTCATCTCTATTTATCTAGGCTCTCAGACTGAAATACTATATATTTTACTTATTAAAATCAGGTGGTGTTATGCTTTGTGCCTAGTTATTTCCCCAAAGCCTCAAGCAGTCATTGGGTGGACTTCTAGAGTGTGTGATTACTTCATAATCCAGTGCTGGGATTATGGGTGTGAGCAATGCTGGGATTATGGGTGTGAGTCTGCACCCTCCCTGGGGCAGATAACCTGGATGCAGCAGTGGAGAGAGGCCTCTGCTGCTGCAGCCACTGCTCCTGTCTTTTTGTTCTTGCTATCTTGCTGTCTTCCATTGCCATGAGCTATTGTCCTGTGCCATGTGCCACTCTGCCTTGGAGCCAGCTAAGTACGGACTGAAACCTCCACAAATTGTGAGCTAAATAAAACCTTTCCTTCCTTACATTGGGGCCTCAGGTATTTTGTCCTAGCAATGAGAGAACAGTAAGTAAGACAGAGGGAAAAGAACAACATTAAAAATACATGTGTAAACCTGGAAAGTACGTGTTGGGGCCTCATCTGCCCCCAAAAGCTAAGGAAGTGGAGTGATGAGGTGAAAGCCTGCGAGGTGTTCTGGTTGTGTTCCATGTACTTGACACCAAACACACCTGCTTCCTCAGATTCCTCCCTTACCATGTTCCGGAAGATGATCTCCCATGTTTCAAAAGCTATGTCTAGAGGATCCCACTCCACTTCCACAGACGTCTCCTTGATGGACTTAAATTTTAAGCCTTCAGGGGCAGGCAAGTCTGTAAGGAAGAGCACAGGTAGGATGTAAGGACAGGCAGAAGTCTAGGAGGGGCCACACAGTCACGAATCCTGTTTGCTAAGCCCATCACAGATGCCCATTGTCCTGGGACTAATAACTGAGGTCCTTTGAAGGTCCTTCTGGTGTACTATTATGGGACAGGATGAAGTCTAATATTAGGACTAATTACATGATTGCATGACTGCTAGTTCATGTCACAAATAAATCACAGGCTTTAGGATCAGACCAACTGGGGATAGAATCTAAACTCTATTATTGCAAACATTTGACCTGGTACAAGTAGCACAAAATGCCTTGAGCCTGTTCCTCTGCTCAGGAGGAGAAGATGACTGTGATCGCCCTTAGGAATACCCTGAGGGCTAAATCAGAAAGTCCAAATGGATTGCCGGGCCTGATTCCTGTCCTGCAGCACAAGCACATTAAAGCACTTGTTTTGCTGTATCCTATGTTAACATCACTAAGCAAAGAGCACTGATTTCTGGACACAGTCTGCTCATCAGCTTGTGCTGACGTGAGATTTTTTTTTTTTTGCTGTACACTTGATTTTATTCCATGACACTGAGTGGCTGACCCCGGGTCCCAGGCAGGAGAAGGCAGAGGTGGTATGGCCTGGTCTCCAGGGGATGCATTGGCCAGGCTCAGCCTTCCACTTGGTCTCACTTGCTCCCTTCCAGTTCATTTTTTAAAAACTGAGATGCAAAAGTTAAATGAAAAAATAAAAATAAAAACAAACCCCTGAGTTGTCGTGAGATGTTTACAGGAACAATTTATAGAAAAACATGAACAGAGCAAGGAGAAAGAGCTGCTTCATCGAAAATACTCAATGGGCTCCATTGGGATCTGGGCTTTCACACAGTACATCCGTGAAAGCACAACCCATGGGGCTGAAGGGGGAGGGCCAGCAGTGGGGTGGGCTCACTCACAGGTGGCAACCCTGGCACTGACGGGGATGCTTCTCTTGTTTTCCAGGATGGCAAACACACGGATGAAGTACTCCACGCCAGGCTCCAGCTCCTGGATGACGGTGGACGTCTGGTCCCCAGGGACCCGGAACTGCATTTCCAGGCCATTGGCATGGGTAGGCGTGTACACTACGAGGTACTCTGTGACTCGCATCTCATTGTCCCATGCCAGGTTTACAGTCTCTTCTGTCACTTCTGTCACGATGAGGTCTTTGGGAGGGGACACTGGCAGAAATCAGAAAGGAAGGGGGTCAGTACTGTGCCATGTCAAATCCTCATAGGGCTGCTTCTCTGGACCTCTGTGTTGTGCACTGTCAGCTACAGAGGCCTGAGGCTCTCCCCTTGAAATCCAGCTTCCACTGCCTCTAAATGCAAGATCCAGCCCTCAAATCCATCAGTGTCTTGTACTGTGCTGGAGTGCCTGGGTCATCATAGCATGGATTCTAGGGCTCTTTGTAGCCCAGGCCCACCTACTGTCCCATTCCCTGGTCCTGGTCCAGCGTCAGCATAGGAAAGAGGGCTGAGCCGCCCAAGTGTACTTGCCTTGGCTAGTTCAGGACTCCCATTGCCTCCCCGTTAGCGTGCTGTTCTTCCTCATCAGCTGTCCCGGCCTCACTCAAGTTAGACCCTGAGCTGTGGCTTGCAGTGGCAGAGATTCTCTACGATGGTAGTTGGATGACTGAGAGAGGCACACAAAGCCTCCCAGTGGAGCTCTGTCCCAAGTGGAGGATCATAGCTCCCCTAAAGAATCAGGGCCTGCGTGTGTGTGTTTAAGAGAGGCACAGTAACCTATGAAGTGGGTCTCTGTGTGCTGATAAGCGTGTAGTCCTCTGACCAGGACCATGTGTGTGCTCTATTGCAGCTATTATCATGCCCACCTCATGCTAGTACTCACCCTGGGAGCAGTCGTCCCCGGTGTAGCCCTCATTGCAGATGCAGCGGCCCGAGACGCACTGTCCCAAGTTGTTGCAGTCATTGGGACAGGAGCGCTGCCCGCAGTCCACACCCGTGAAGCCCTCCTGGCACACGCACTGGCCATCCACGCAGCGGCCCCGGCCACGGCAGTCGCCAGCACACCTTCGCTCTTTGCAGTCATGGCCCATGAAGCCCTCCTGGCACACGCACTGCCCGTTCACACAGCGGCCCTGGCCGTGGCAGTCGTTGGGACAGGACAGCTCTGCGCAGTCCGGGCCTGTGAAGCCATCCTCACACAGGCACTGCCCATCCACACAGCGGCCCCGGTTACTGCAGTCCCGGGGACAGCGGAGGTCCCTGCAGTCTTCGCCGGTATAGCCATCGTCACAGACGCACATGCCGTTCACGCAGCGGCCACGCTGGTGACAGTCGTTGGGGCAGCTCATTTCGCCGCAATCATAGCCCTTGAAGCCTGGCTCGCACACACACTTTCCCTCTATGCAGCGGCCCCGGTTGTGACAGTCACTGGGGCACCTCTGCTGGCCGCAGTCCTCCCCTGTGTAGCCCTCGTCGCACACACACTGGCCATTGACGCAGTGGCCGTGGCCGCTACAACTACGGGGGCAACTGAGCTCCCCGCAGTCCGCTCCTGTGAATGCTTCGTCGCATTCACACTGCCCATTGATGCAGTGTCCGCGGTTGTGGCAGTCGGCGGGACACCTCTTTTCGCTGCAGTCAGCGCCAGCAAACCCTTCGTCACACACACACTGGCCCTCTTCACACTGGCCCTGCCCGTGGCAGTCATGAGGGCAGGTGAGCGTGCCACAGTCCTCACCAGTGAAACCCTCTTCACAGTAGCAAGTGCCGTTGAGGCAGCGGCCCCGGTCAAAGCAGTCGTTGGGACAGACAAGCTCGCTACAGTCCTCGCCTGTGAAACCCTCGTCGCACACACACTCATTCTCCACGCAGCGCCCGCGGTTGTAGCAGTTATTGAGACACAAGGGCTCGTTGCAGTCATGGCCCGCAAAGCCTTCGCGGCACACACACTGGCCATCCACGCACCGGCCATGCTCCTCGCTGCAGGGCACTGGGCAGACCTCCTGGCTGCAGTCAGCCCCCGCGTAGCCTTCAAAGCAGACGCAGACGCCGTCCACACACCTGCCCTGGTCATTGCAGTCACTGGGACAGGCTAGCTGGCTGCAGTCCTCGCCTGTGAAGCCTTCATCGCAGATGCACTGTCCCTCGAGGCACTGGCCGTGCAGGTTACAGCTGCTCGGACATTCGGGCTCGGAGCAGTTGGGCCCTTTCCAGCCAGGCTCACAAACGCAGCCACATCCCTCCGTGCTGAAGTTACCTCGGCCACTGCAGAAGGGCCTGGTGTCCAGGCGGCCTACAGGGAAGACAACAGAGACTCTAGCAGGCCTCTGCCTGTGACATTCCTTTAGATTTCCCCTCAAAACTCAAATTCAAAGGCAACCCAGCTGAGTCAGAAGAAGGTTGCATTCTTAGGCTCCTCTGGCCTTGCAAACCGGTTACCTATCTGTGAAACCAGATAGGGCTCACGTCCCATTGTACAGGATTCTAAAGTGGCACTCCCCACCCCTAGACTGTAGACTCGTACATAAGGACAGTATGTGCTGCATGTGCATGCATGTGTGTGCAAGCGTGTGTATTTATCAAAACACTTGGGGAAAGAATCTATAGTTTTCATCATATTTTCAAGGGATCCTGACTATGGAATCCATTACTTGGGGCTATGTTTCTACTTCTTTGCTTCCTAGTCAGAGTCAGGCTCATAAGGGATACTCAACAAGGAGCTGTTTACCAAACTGGATTGTGCTGGTTTTTAGTTGAGCCGGGTGTGGGAGTTGAAGTGAATGGAGCCTCTGGGATCAGTTTCCTCCCATGCCAAGTGGAAATGACCCCTTGCTTCCTGGGGACAAATCAGGGTTAAATGAGAACAGGAAGTGCTTACTCCTGTGATGCTGTCTTCTTTTCCAAAACTTTTCTGGTGTTGACTCAAGTTGCTACACTGGCCTACCTGGTGGAAGCTTCTAATTTTCCATAAGTGAAGGGAGGAAGCTAAAGAGCGCCTTTCAAATTCTGTTAGGACACCTTTCACCATGACGATATTCTAGACAACTCAGGCGCTGCTGTCTTTTGTACTTTCTCTTTTACAGTGCTGCAGTTTTGGTGAAATGCAGGTCAGGGCTGATGAACTGCTTTATACTGTTTTGGCTCAACTTGTAGAAGTTACAGCTTTGATCTTCACGAAGCTCAAGGAGGAGAAACAAAATTCTCATGCTCTTCTAGATAGTTCTGTGGTCATATATTATCCCCTTTCTGACTGGGGGAAGAAACCCTTCTTTTTTATGAAGCTAGTAGTCAATGAAAAAACTGTGACTTGTCTAAACTGAGGTGTGCTTCAAGCCTAAATTACACACTACTTTCAAAGATCGCATAAAAATTAAATGTAAAACATCCCTTAATTATTTCTATATTGACTGTGGGCTAAAAAGCAGATCTTTTTTTTTAAGTGAGTAAATTAAAATTGATGATTAAAATTATTTTCACCCACTTATTTTTCCCTTCTTCAATATTACCACTGAAAAGTTTAAGATTACATTTGTGGTTATATTATATTTTTCTTGGCCAGCTCTCATAAATGATTATTACAACCTATTTTTTAGTGTCAAACTTTGGTATTTTCATCTGCTTTTTGCCAAGGAATTGACAGATGTGCAAGATAATTTATGCCTAGAGAAAACATAAAAATACTGCATTAGCTATTTTGAGTACTTACAGCACTCCCTACTTATGGTGGCGACATCTAATCTTGAAATGATTATCCAAGTACTTCTTGGTACTCTTCCTCTGAGTGGCAGAACTAAAGATTTTCATTTCTGATTTGAAATTGCTGAAGCTTCCATAGCCTTACTGACTCTAAGAAATGGAGATAAAGAGCTAATTCCAAAGGAACAAAATTCCTCAAAATGGGATGCACATGGATGCAGGTGGCACCAGAGGGTATGCATTCTGAAGGCAGCGGGGCCCTGAAAGCCCCACCCTGCACCGTTCTGTGTCAGCCTATGACATTTGATTGTCTTCCTCAAGTCTAAAGTGTTAGATCTACAGGTGGGGTATTAAGTTTTATCTTTAAGGGGTGTTAGGAGGATCAAGTAGAACTAGTGACAGTGCCTCATACAGAGACCTTAGAGGGGGCTTATGTCTGGGAGCTCTGTCATCATTGCATTAGGGCTCTGCTGCATGGGGGCTTGTTTTCTGGTTCCCACAGACCCCACAGCATCACAGTCACCACCACACACTGCTGAGAAATGTGTGATATGGCATTCCATATTGTAAGATCTAATTCAGACCCCTGCCATAGGATCTTGTGAATCCCACACTCTTTCTAAGCTTTGGTTTCCCTGATTGTAGAATAAGGTGATGGAGCAGTATCCTACAGTGTGCCCCTTGGGGCAGGAATTTCGTATGTTCACAGGCTTTGTGGTCAAATCAGTTTAGGTATGGTATTGAAGTAAAATAGGGTTTTCAGAAACTGATTTCTAAGAGGCCTGGAAATTTCTGAGAAATATTTGTCATCATGCCATATCTGAGAACAGGAGATTGCATAGGGATATAGCTCAGCGCTTGCCTGGCAAGTGCAAGGTCCTGAGTTCTATCTCCAGTACTAAAAAAACAATACAAAACAAACAAAACAAAACAAAAAAAACAAACCAAAAACCACAGGAGAGATGGTATGTGCTTCACACTTGACTTTAAGAACTTTGTAAAATGAGCACCTAGGAACCCAGTTTGAAAACCTCTGATGCATTCTGCCACACCATTCATTTGCCCCTTCTGCACAGGGAGCAGCCGGCCTGCTTCCAAATCTTACCTTCGGCAGGTTGGAGACAGCAGCCTGTTCCCATGCTGCACTGCTCCCGCAGGGAGGACACCATGAGCTCCAGCTCTTCCAGCCTGCTCAGGAGCTCTTTGACATCTGGAGCAGCAGCACAGCCGCAGGCCCGGCGAGGGATATTGATGCGGTGCGTGAAGACAATCTGGTTTTCCCCATCCACTGTGTGTTCCTGGATGCTTTCGCTGGGCTCCAACGGAGGGGCCAGATCTTTCTCTCCACTGGGTGATTCCAGATCCACAGAGCACTGAGATCCTATAGGCAGCTTGATGTTGTAGATGTGGTTAAACACCACTGGTTGGTTCTCTTCTGGAAAGGTGCCGTTCACCCCACTCTGTCGCTTGTGCCTGATGACCTTCTTGAGGACCCCGCCTTCTGAAGGGAGTGTAAGCAAAGCTAGGAAGAGTCCCAGCAAGAGCTGAGTCATGGTTCCCATGGTGGGGGGTAGGTATGGCAAGGTCTTTCTAGGGCTCTAGTCTCTTACTCTCATACGAATTTGGAAATTAGAGGCAAAGTTGCATCCAAGCCTGTCACCCTCAGTTTTCTTGAAAGATGTTTTCCTACAAGTAAATGAAATGAAACAAATTGATTAGTATCTACTAGCAATTGAATCTATTAAATACCTATAATTTCAAGTGAACTTTGGTTTCATATCTTTTGTACTTGGAGCTTTCCTGATGTTTCATGAGTCTATAAAACAGTGTCTAAAGGAATTTTACAGTCTTCAAGGGATTATTTCACTCACATTAGATTTCTGGAAATGTAAGGGAGACAAGAGTATTGAGGTTAAAGCACAACACTGGAATGAGTTAGACATGGGAGAAGAGGAGAAAACTCAGTTCTTATACTGGACCCTTGGGTAATTTATATGTTTGCTTTTACTATTCTCTCTCTCTCTCTCTCTCTCTCTCTCTCTCTCTCTCTCTGGCAGAACCAGGGATTAAATTCAGGCCCTTGTGCTTGCCAGGGAAGTACTTATTCCACTGATCCATTTTCCCAGCCCCTTTTTTTCTTTTTTTGAGACATAGTCTTATTGTTTAGGTCAGGTTGGCCTTCCACTCACCCAGGTTGGCCTGCAATGCCCGTTGATCCTCCTGCCTTTGCCTCCTGAATACTGGGATTATAGGCATATACCACACCCAGCCCTTATTTTATATTATATATAGTGAAGATCACAATGGCTAATAATAGAGTTGAAAGAATGATGCAAGAGAGAATATTAAGTTCGAAATCACTGTGTACGTATTTATTTCTTCAACATTCGCCAGCCAAGCCCTTTGAGTGATTTATTAGAGTGATGTTAATGCTGCAGCCCCCACCCCACGCTTTATAACCTCTTCATCTACCTCTAATGACTGGCTTTTCACAGTAATTTTAGCATTGACCTTCCAAACTGAGGTTAACACCAGCTGATGGGTTCTTTCAGTCAGGGGAGTCAGAGGACAAGAAGAAGGACACCAGAATGTACCCTGAGCTTTAATCTCAGCCAAGCCTTTTCTGGTAATATGGCTGATGGCAGAGAATTCGCTCTTTCTGTATCTTAGTTTCTGCTCTTGATTTATATCAATAACATTCAAAAGTCTAGTTTTCAGAAGAGCCTTAACTAGTTGTTTACATCAATATTCATAGTGATTAAGGATTCACAAATGATACCCATGGGCCTTTGGTGTCTTCTCCAGCCAACTAGTACTTAAAGAATCCTGTTCCTATGGAGGATCCCACAACAGAGTTATGTGGATGAAAGAAAAGGCTGTAAGAAGTGTTTATCCTCAGTGGATTTAATGATAAATTAAGAAGAAAATGGAATCACCCATTTAATACTTAGGAAACAAAGAGGGTATACAAAGAATCTATTTTATGGGTACAGAATTTAATAGCTTATAGGGTTTGAAAGACAAAGGAATTGTTCAAAGAATGTCAGGGTCTGGCATATGGGAAAAGGTGAACTAAGTCTTCAATAGTGGGGGAGGACACAGTAGTGAGACACCACACTGCCACAAGGCAGTGCTGACTTAGCTGTGTTGCAGCTGTTCTGCTCTACAGGCAATCCAGAAGCAGAGGCAAGGAGAGTACCAAGGGGGTGAAGAAATTACTAAGTGAAGATAGAAAGACCAACACAACATTAACTGAAATAGCACTGTGAGAGTGATCTATGCATGGTGTGAATTCACTCATGTTCTCCAATTACTGAATAATTGGAGAGACTTTTGGTCATTAGAAAGTTATTCTAAAATCTCACATTTTCTATACTGTGCCTGTTCTATTCCTACACGGCCACATGCTAAAATGGCCATTAATATCAATTAGCTGTGGCATCTGGATGGCTTATCCTATAAGGAGTTTTCCAGCTCTTTCCCCAGGAAATCTTATCCCAATGGAAGAATGCATCAATGATTACTTACTTCATGATGTCAGAAATTCTCTGAAAAATTTAGAGAGGGACCATGGAAGACAAACTGAATAGAGAAACCTTTAGGAGGATTAAGAATGAGTCTGGAGGCTGGGAAGACACCTGCTAGGGACAAAACAAAATCTATGCTAGCCACACCCCCACTATTTCCTCATTACATTCACACTGATATTCTAACAACTATCAAGTGATATAAACTTAGAGCCTCTACTCTGTGATTAGGAAAAAACAATGACTCTTCTGAACATATTTACTCATTCAAATTTATTTCCTAAGGAAGAAATTGTTTGTGGATCTGTGATATTGGTAAGGCCACTGAATGAAGATTCTTATGAGAAAAGCTTGGGATATTCTCCTCTCTCAAACTGATGTGGTCCACTTCATTTGGTTTCTGGATAAATATTTGCATGGTCTGTTGGAATGTCTATTTATTTGTTATTCTCTCAAAGTTCTTTTCTACCTTTGTCAAATAAATATTTCATTTCTTTTGGAAGAGTCATGGGTCAAGCTTAAAGTATTTTTAAACTTTTACCTAAAACTCTTTTGTGTGAATGTATAATGTGTGTGTTGCTAAGTGATTCACATTTGCATTAAAAAAGCCACTAAAATTGTGGGTCAAGACTCCAAGTGTAGGGTGGTAATCATCAGTGCCCAGTATAGAGGTAGGGTGAAGGTTTTTTACTGTATATTTAAGAGATGGGCAGTGACATAGTCAAACGTCAGGCAGGGGAAGGACATGTCACTCTTGAGTGCTCTGAATTGACCTGGGCTCATGGTGCTCTGTGAGCAGGTGGATGACTCTGTGCTCTCGGAAGACCCACCATAACCTCCACATTGCAGCAAATGCTTAAGCTTTAGTATTAGACCCAGCTGGGTAGAAATGCTACCCACCAGCCTTGGCACTTTGGGAAACCACTAAACCTATCTAAATCATGACCTAGTTTATAAGCTAGGGATTGAAACCATTCCAGGGAGGAATCAAGGGTTAGAGACATACACAGAGCACTCAGTATGACATCAGGCTCGTAGTAGGCACTCACTAAACCAGAGCTGCTATTTTGTTGTTTTTCTGGAAACAAATGAAACCTAGCAAGAGAACATACCAGTGGCCTTCTTGTATCTAAGCTGGAGCATGAAATCCTAGTGGAATCTTATCCTAAACTCAGCAGCAAGTTGGATCTAGATCAGAGGAGCTGCAGAAATTACTGATGGGTGAGGAGGTAAACCTTGTGAAGATCAGTTTACTAGAACTAGAAATATTTATTCCACAGAAGGAAAAACCAGGGAGCAAATAATGACCTTCAAGAATGCCAAATATTCTCACGCAGACAACTGGCTGGTTTATGTCTCCTTTGAGGCTAGACCTAGGGAAAGTGACTGGAATTTGCAGTTTGGGAGATTTAGATTAGACATAAAACATCAAGCTCTGATAGTAGGGCTTTCCTATCTTAAGAAGGAGCAATGTATTCTGCAGAAACTCTTTAAAATCACAAGTAGATGCTTATCTTTCTAGGAAGTGATCAGTAATGAAACATCTGGGAAATATCTTGAAGGAGGAAGGACAGCAGACTGTTTACCCTGTAGCTGAGAGCAGTAAGGTGGAAGGGGGGAGACAGGATTGCCACGTAAAATTCCAGAGAAACGGGAGGTATCTCGTCTCCCTGGCCCCCCAAACAGAGTTAAGTGCTAATGTGTGCGTATGTGGGAGGTTGGCTAAAGAAGGCGCATTTCCGAAACATGCAGGAGAGAGACTTTTCTAGGTAAGCTGTTTGGCTGATAGCATTTTGGAGCAACATGGATTAAACTGATGGTTAATTTTTGGCATCTCACCACAGGACAAAGACCATTGTACAGGGAGGAATCAATACTCTGAAATTCTCCCCCATCCTAGTTGGAGAATACATAATAAACAATTTCACTTTTAGGTCATGGTAACACATCCAACTGGCCACCATCACATTTCAGAATTGCTTATGACTTCATTTTTAGTAACTCACAGAATATATGCCTCTTGATGACTGAAGGGTGCATGTGAAATAGCTGAGGTTTGGAGGAACAAGGATGGTTCGTGCTGTTTGCAAAATGCAGATGAATTTTGTTTCCACATCAATTTAGCAACACATGAGACATCTTACACCAGTTTTCTTTTCTGGCTTCTATAGGCAAGAGAATTTTATTATGTCCAATTTGCCAAGCGTGTAGTTGCTTACATGGGCGTTCTTAAATGTTCTTGAAATTCCTCACCACTTGTCCTTCCCAACATCCATAAATTCTTTCTTGGAATGTGTCAGGAAGAGCCAGGAGCCAGGAAACAGCCGTAAGGGTGGATATTTTTCCGAAGATATCTGATCCCCACAACTGAGTGAGGTCAGCACAACCCAAGGCATAGAATAATTGAGAAAATTTGAACTAAAACCCCAAGCCTCTCCCAGCCCCGGGTGCTTGGGTCCCAGTGCTCAGAAGTGATAATCCCTTTAAGTAGCATGGTGCCTTAATTGGTGCCCAGATAGGATATTAGCGGAACCAGCAATCGCTCAAAGCCCAGGGAATTAATTCATTTAGAGACAACTTATCTTCATGTCCAATAGAGATGAGTGGGATGAGTATTCTATCAGGCTGCAGCCTAGCCTGGAGGTAGTGGGGTGTTTCAGACACAGTGGTGGTCAGATCTTTTTCTCAGTGAGCCCACGGTCTCATAAAAGAGACAGACACGTAAGCAGACCCTTACTGAGAAGAGAGATAAATGCCAAAATTGAACAAATACCCAATAAAAGTCTGTGTAATGCTTGAGAGTATCTGCTCCAGATTTAATCTGACACTTTTAAAACTTGGCTCTGCCACTGGGTATTAGTCTGATCCATATAGAGTTGCCATTTTTTTTGTTGTTGTTACAGGGTCTTCAGGGTCTACAGGGTCTCACTATGTAGATCGAACTTGTAGCAATTCTTCTGTTTTCAGCCTTCTAAGCACTGGGATTACAGGCATGCACCACTATGCCCAGTCTCAATCGCTGTCTCAGCGTGCCCCGGGGACAGGGTCAGCATGGCATGCCAGGGATCAAATCCCAGCCTCTGAGCTCTGCCTAAGCAGGTGTTTTAGTCTGCTGAGCTATCTGGCCAGCCCTGAGTTGTCATTTTTTAAAAGATCAGA